TTCCCCTTGAAATCAATGTAACAATGCGGTGGAAACACTAGTGCTTTTTTTCCAGTCCACGTAGTGGAGCGCCCTCTGCTGGATTCCAGTCTGTTGCACTTATAAACTATAAATTTGAATTTGAAGCAGGTCAACCTTTAAATATGAACCACGTTCAAGCTAATTTTCGACTATAAAATAAAAAGTGACAGCCCTAATATGTATTATTTTTGTCAGATTCCTAAAGCCATAAAGTTAGCCATAAATGGATGAAGAAACACCCATAATCATCTGTTTGTATACTGAAGTGTAGTTTTAGTTTGGATCACTGAGGTTCTCTGGAGGTTCTCTGATCAGTGATTCATCATCAAAACAAATGTGAAGGATGCTTGCTGAATAATCCCTGTCTTTAAATGCAGCAATGTGTTGGACCTCGGCTGCTTGCACACACACACACACAATACTGTCAATGCCCTTAGCACTGTAGCTCTTGTGGACTGTAAATATGATAGTCCATATATAAACCACATTACAATGTGATATACCATAAATCAGTTGGACATTGACGAATGATCTAAAAATTCCATTAATAATCAGTCGTTGAACTGCAGCACTCACATTTAAGGCTGCAGTAGGTTATATGTTATATTTTCTGATGAATACATCGTCCCTCCCTTCTTTTTCACCTACCAGTGAATAAGAAAAAGATGAGAGCCATGATCATGGTGTATCCAAAGTACAGAATGGTGCTGGCCAGTCCGGTGATTTGCAGCTTAGAGAAGAAGTAATGAATGGCGTAGACCAGGAAATAGACAGCAGTGAAGCCGCTTGTCAGGAAGGAACGCCACTGCCAATGGTAGTCCTGTGAGGAGGAGAGACACAGCCACAGTTGAGACAAAAGGAAAGAGTTTTTGTAAAATAAGGCTCTGACTGAAGGGTAAAAAGAGTGGGCCCTATAATACAGAGCCACTTATAGCCGATCAATGCTGATCAATGCTGATGAGAACACAGAAAGCAGATATTGTGATACTGTACTTATCGGAAGTGTGACTAAAGTTGTTGTTGCTATATGAATCTTTTAACTTCATGTCAAATAAACGTATTCAAATCTAATTGTAACTGCAGGTAAATTCTGTATTTTAAATTATTATTTTGTTTAATCTGGCTAATTAGTAGAGATTTTTAGTTTGAGCATTACACTGCATTGTCCTATGGACACCCTGGATCCCATAGTGATGCTGTGGAAACTTATTGGGTACAATTATATTCTGCGCTAAAAGGACTGTAAAGCATAAAACTGGTCAAATCTCAAGATACTGAATACCAAAAAGCTGTTATCAACAACTTAAATACAAAAATGTCAGCATTAACATGATCCCTGAAACATAAAGATGCCAGTGTTAAAGGTAATGCATTGGTGGTGCTGTTTACCTCAGCACATAAGTGGAAGTAGCATAGCAGGATGGTGGCCTCAGAGCAGGTGATGACCAGGATGATGAAGACCAGGAAGAGGAAGCCAAACATGTAGTACATCTGATGGGACCTGGAGACGAGAAGAGACATGTCTGAACCCTACAATGGATTTAATAAATAAAATACACGACTAGATGGAAATGCAGGTAATGCCACCTTCTATGGTAAATATGAGCGAGGACACCATCATCTATCTGGATGTATGTCTAACTATAATCCCAAGTATGGACAAAATGTGATGTGACAGCCAAACCTTTGTCTTCGTTCTCACCAGATGGAGTTTAGTATGAAGAAAAGCTGAATAAATATACATCCAAAAGGCAGAATTCCTCCCATGATGATACCAGGGAAAGGCTTTGTGTAGAACGACTGCTCTGGGATTTGACGAGGGATCTGATTGGTCCGGACTGGGTGCTCGATACCCTTAAACAATGAGCCAGAGCAGAGGGATTATTATTATATTTTTCTTGGTTTTCAGGTATTTTATAGGAAAAATAAAATCATGATGACACAGAACATGACAACACAGACAATGCTTGACTCATTGCAGACACTTTAATTAGTACTGCTGTAGTATTCTATTGTATTATTTTCCAGTTGGTTCTTTTGTTACTGTACTTAACTGATTATATGTATGCCCCCTGGCACGAAATGCTGCTAAAGTTGACCATGAGATTTCTGCTGCTTATGCTTTTAATACTTGAGGAGCTACTAATCTAACAGAACACAAACGGTTTTCTTTAATGGTTCTTTTACAGTGAGGAAGGTGCAGTGAGGTGTTCCCCAGGGAAGTTGCTTGGGCCCACTGTTCTTATCTATATTTACCAATGACATGCCACTTATTTTGAGAAAAATAAGTGGCATGTTAGTTATTCCACAGTGCATATGTTGTCAAACAGTGTGAATGAATACAATGTTCTCTTTAAAAATTTTATTAAATTGATTTTGTGCTAGGTAACAAAAACTATCTAGCTCGGAATTAAGGATGCACGATAATTATCAGGACAGATAAATTACATTGACAATGACATTTATATTATTATAGATTATGAGAATAATTAAATTACAGACTATAAATTATCTGTTGATATTAACAATTTATTTTGAATACTTATGCAAAATGATTGATAGCCTTTTTGGTTGATGAAAGCCAAAGTATGTTTGTTACGTTTTTTTTAATGAACTTTACTAGAAAAAGTAATTTCCAGGAATCAGAACTGCTGTTTGTTGTTGTTTTGTTATCAGTAGTGATAGGTTAGCTCAGAACTATGAAATAATAAATCATCAGAGGAATCATCCATTGCTCACTACACCCTCTAACTACAGGTTATGAACTTCTTAAAAATACAGAAATGTGAAATTATCGGTTATCTTATCAGTATCGGCCATGAAAAGCAGATAAATAAGTTATTGTATGAGCTGAAAACAAATCCATATTGTGAATCCCTACTTGGAATGCATCAAAGACTAATGTTTTTGGACCAATTATGCATCTCCGTCAAAGGCAGCCTATAGTGCAAGTCACTGAGGAACTAAGGCTGGTGATGTAATTGTATGTATGTATGCATATATCTGAAAGCATGTGTATACATTATGTTCTTAAGATTGACCACAGGCAGATTAGTGCCCTAACAGCTAATGGGGATCCAAATAAACAGCAATGTTGACATGACAGATTACCATTTCTGCAAGCCACCATGAATGGATGTACAGTGTGTGGGATTATATTTACTCACTGTCTTCTTGAAGCCAAAGTATGCTCCTATGAAGGTAAGCGGCACCGAGATACAGAACCAAAGAGCTAATATGGCAACCAGGGTCCCAAATGGCATGGCTGCTGAAGAGCCTTCACCCCACAGGATCAAGTTCATCACAAAAAAATCTGCAAATACCACCCTGAGCAGGGAGAGAGAGAGTGTTAGGTGAAGGAGTGAATGAGTGACAGTGGGATCGAGTGGTTGTGTCTTTGACATGCAGTGAACTTCTACCCTGGTGTGTTGTGTCCGTTATTATGTCCGGTGTCTGAGCCAGCCGAAAGAGTCTTACCCAGGACAGAGGAAGGCTGTCAGCAGGACGTTAGTCTTCCACTTCTCTCCTCCAAAAGCTGACAATTAACCAAACACAAAGATACAAGGGAGTTTCAGAATCATTTTCAAACGTATTAAATGTATTCTTATTTACTGTTTATATATTAACATGAGTATCCTTCCACAGCCCCTGGACAGTGTTTAAGCAGTGTGACTTTGAGCTCTGCAAAATGAATTACTTTTCCTACTGTTGCAAGTGCAAATAATAATAGAAATAAACTTTTTTTTATTGTTTTTGACCAAGTAAAAAAGCAACTGATGATTTTAAAGGACACCCTTGATTTCGTTCAGCAAGCATGAACAAATATAAGTATATAAAGTATATATATAAGTATTTGAATGTGATTACTCGATTGTCAGAACAATCCACAGAAACTGCTTTATAACAGCTGCCGTTCTCCTTAAACATGAGACCCTGTGTTATTTTCCTCAATTACATTTGTAGAGGCGAGCAGCCACATATCCGGCAGGAGTTCCCAGAAGAACCCAGAGAACAACAGCACACGTCATCAGAGCCCCGCGGTTCGCAGGAGACAGGAACCCAAGACAGGCAAAGACTGGAAAAGGAGGAGCTTACGTTATGAGACATTTGCAGTTAGGATACATCAAGCAGTTATTCAGCTCCACTGACGCTGGATTTTTAAGCTAATATTGATATTTCAGAATTTAAAAAGATCTGCTTATGAAATACTGGCCGGACGTATTATGGGATGCTACTTGGCCAATGGTTTATGCCCATTTTTCCATAGACAATATTGTGTGAGTCAGCTGTAGCATTTCTACAGCTCATTTATGATAAAAAAAAGACTTACACAGGGTGACAAAGGTCATAATGAAGATCTGGGTTCCAGAGCCAAGGAAAACCGACAGCAGCATTCCTTTCCTGGGAGGTCGGAACACATCTCCATGGACCAACTTCCACCCAAACTCCTCCTGGGCATCCTCCTGGACAATGAAAGAGAGGAGCAGATATGATGAGAACAACACAGCTGGACTCCACCAGGCGCAGTGTGACACGTTACGGTAGCGTTGTGACGGCCTTGTCTGATTATGTTTCATGTGATAATAATAGAGTTTACCCTTTAAAGTCCTCACTAAGAAAAAAGCTATGGATTTTTGTCCTTGTATTTTATTCCTTTGGGGCAATAATAACAATAATCTATGTTGTTGTTTTTTTAAAGACCCTACAGTTTCTTTTAATATAGACTTCTTCCAAGTAAGTATGAAAACTCATAGTCATGTAATTGTTTCATCAAATACATGAGATTGGCAACAGTGAATAGGTTTATATGTTTGTTTATTTTGTAAAAATGTAAGATTTATTATGTTAGCATCATCCTTTATCACTTAAGGACAATTCCACCATTAGGTTGAGCATGTTTTTAGACAGTAAGATATATCATAGTTATTGGATTATTTCAGCATATAATAATAACATTAAATGGATTGTATTAAAAATAGATGATCAGAAGTTTTTATTTCCTAACAAATGTATTAATTACAATAGCTAACTAATGACAGACAACCCTGTTTGGTAGAGCATGTTTTTAGAAAATGATTTGACCCTTATTAGAATTTAGTTGTATTAAGTTACATAATTCTGTTCAGTAAGACCTATCAACCTATAATATGTCAAACAAACATTAAGTGGAATTCCACCAAACAGTCCTCATGTCTGGAGTGACTTTTTTGTTTCTGACTTCCTGTAAGGAGGTGAACTGAAAAGGGCTGACTCCTTCAAGACACAGTGACATCTAGTGGCCTTTATTAGCATAAGAGACCTAAACTGAGTGGTAGAGATGGCTCAGTCAGGTTGAGTTTAGTTCAGCACATTTTTTAAAAAGATATAGTGATTCAACATGTGCTCTACCAAACAGGAGAACTTTAAGTTAGTTAATCACTCATGAACACCCCTTTCAAGAGCTGGATACAGGAGGTGTTGTACTTGCTCCAGCTTGACATACTGAGTGAATATCGAATATTTAAAGATACTGGCTCTATGATGTTACCTGATTGATGTTGTCCTATTTAGCTTATTACTACAACAACTAATGTTCATACATTTGATCTTTTTCTGTTCTTAATCTATCTACCATCTGCATTACATTTATTTTTCTATGTTATGGTGTTACTTAATCTATTTAGTTTTTTTGGTCTGTTTTCCTACTGAGGGTGGCTACGATGTGCGCTAATGTTTATGTAAGTTCAATATGTGGGTACATGTATCTCTAGTAATGTTAAACTTAAAGGAGTTCGGTCCAGACCTGCT